AACTGCTTACCGACCTTCGCTCTGCGATTTTTGCCCATTGGGGGCATCGCTCTGCGATCGCATTAGCGATCGCAAAAGCGTCACCCTAGAGCAAATTCATCGCTCTACGGGGCGCTCGTTGTGCGAGGCACCACTGTAAATTATTGTACAGTTATATGTATATTTTGTTTGTGTTGCTCCCATTTTTGAATTGCCTTATGGAATGTTGATTTGCTTGCCAGTACAGCATTGCTGCATTCTCGTGCAGCAATAATTAATGTAGAGAATGTGACATGAACAGTTGTACAGTTTATACTACATATATAGTGGTCCTTGTCTAATGTAAAAAAGGTAAAGCTTCCCCTTGACATTTAGTACTGGACAACACCAGCAATCATTATGTTAGACTGCACAGGGATGCCATTGAAATCCATAAAAATAAACAGAAGTCCTAAAACTAAACATGGCCTGGCTCCCAATATTGAAAAATACAGCATGTAAAAGGCCAGCGAACTCTCCCCAGCCACAAGGACCACGATCATTGCACAAAAAAGACCAGCTAACGACACCCATCAGTCACAGTAACAGATAATCTCTCCCCTCCCTTATCACAACAAAAAACACGCTGATCACCCTATCTCCTAGAAAAAGACAAAAGCTGTTCCCACAGCTATAAATATTCAACTATCTAACAAACAGCAACAGAGCATGGACAGAGTTCCTACTCCAGTCCTCTGAAGAGGCCGGCCACAGAGACTGGTAAAATGTCAGGAAGAACAACCTTCAGAACACGGCCAAAGAACCCAAAAACCCCACAACAACCATCAGATCCCGGCCATGAAAGCCTTCGAGAAAACATCATGCTTTATTTGGTGTAAGCTTTTGTGATTTGCACCTCATGTGATCGAATGTTCAGCACTGGGTAAAATTATTTTTTCCAATGCATGAATAACAAAAGTTTAAAGATTTATTTCAATGGGAGTTTTTGTGGATAACAACCGATTTGCTCAGATACATGGAGCATAATAGTCAGAATTATTTGTACAGAGTACAAGGTGGTCAGATTGGGAGCTTTGAGACTGGAAAAGCAGGGTGACAATAACACAGTTAATGTGGCAGTAGCATTATTAATACTAGTAATGCACATTCAGAATAACCATTGCATGAATATTCTACTAATGGGAAGAGCAATCAACTTTTTTGTTCTATTTATAACAGTGGTAAACTGTTGGAAGTGGATTGTAATCCATAAAAACTCATTCTGAAAGAAATCTGTTGGTCTTTAAGGTATCCCAAGACTTTTGTTTTCATTTTTTTTCCTGTTCAGAGCTCATGTTTGTTCTGCTTAGGTTAGACCTGCTAAGACAGAGAAAAATGATGATCTGTTTGAAAATGTCTCTAATGTAGCATAGTAACTAATGTGATCCAACATCCACAAGATGGCAGCCTCCAAGAATTATACTGTACTGTCAAAGTGCTTCAGCGCTCATTCTGCCATGCCCTCTTCCGGATTTTACGTTAACAAGCCTTTATAACATTCTGTGAGAGGAAGTACTGCAAAACCTTCATATCCTGTATTCTTTCTGGCTTAAATCAATTGGCTAAGAGTCAAACTAAGCATTAATATTTATTTATCCTGGGCAATTTTCAGGACAAGAGTCCACACCACAACTAGAAACACTATAGTTTCTCTCTGGGATCACGAGTTATCCGTGCTCTTCTGTCATTAACAGTTCTTAATGCTAAGTACGTACTGCAGTTTCACAGGCTAGTAGATCAACTCAGCCCTACATTGCCTGCCAGTTTTTTTTTTTAAAAAGATATGCCACTGTCATCATCACCCTGGATCTTTAATAAGGCCACTTCAAAAGAAGAAGAAGGAAGACCCAAGAACCATTTTTTGTATAAAAATCTTCTTTATATCCTTATGTTAGCTTTTTTCATAGACTATTATTGTCTTTCTCTGAAAATATAAAGCCTCCCCTTTTATGGGCAGGCTTCAAATGATGCTATATTCAATTCTATGACCTGTGTTAACTTTCTTCACAAACTAATTTCTTGTACTTCTTTCTCGTTCATTCTTCTAGGATGGTACTTATGTAACTTCCTTTATATCCATTTACAGTGGTACCTCGGTTTACGAATTTAATGTGTTCTTCTGGACGTTTCGTATTGCAAATACGACGCATGCACGGGGGCAGCGCTAATAATCCAGCCGCAATGCATCCTGGGGAAACTTGTTTCCTATTGTAAAAAAAAATTTATAAACCAAGGCATTATTTTCAATGGATTTTCATTCATAAACAAACCATTACATTAACTGAGGTGTTCATAAACCGAGGTACCACTATATTTAATACATTTTTCGCTATTCACATCAGTGAAGATCTGGTTCATGTTTATGCTGGATATTTTTCTATTAAACATAAGCCCTCCTTTCTACCAATAAATGGCACTCAAGGTAGCTAACAATTCCTGAATCAGAATTTTATTTATTTTTATTTTATTTATTTTATTTATATCCCGCCTATCTGGTCAATTTTGTTGAGTCTTGCCCAGTCCTGAATTTGTCAACTGGCAGGAGGTTTCTGGGCTTTCAGGAAGGATTCTTCCCTAAACCTAGCTGGAGTTTGAACCTGGCACCTGGAGGAATTTGTGATAAATAAATTAGCAAATGCAGCAATTTACTTTTTCTGGGTGCTTTCCCTTTGTTGCTATATTTACTTGCATTTCCCCTCTCAACCTTTGTTGGATTTTTTTTAACTTCTCCAGGAATTGCAGAGTTCGTTGGAGGCTGTATATGGAAAGAACTCTCTTCCTGAAGCCGAGAGTTCTGAGGGAGCATTTGAGAAATTCTTTGAGTGGAAGAATGTTAAGCTGCAGGAATTCAACCAGGTCAGGAATGCCACAGATACATCACTGCAGAATCTTAAGAATTGTTTCAGCAAGATAATTCAGGTAAAGAAAACACTCGATCTTGAACAAAAATAAAAGCTTGACATTCACCTCATGATTTGGAGGCCAGGCTGCGGGCTGTTTTAGAGGTCTTTGTTTGGGACCTCCAATTTAATGTATGTTTTTTGTAACAGCTCTTGTGGCAAAGATTTTCTGTCTGGTGTAATCTCATTATTTTCTACTACAGAGATGACTTTGGATTTCAGAAGGTGGTTGAAAAGGTTGGTCGTTTGCCTTGTGCATGTGTACTAGTCCAGATCAGTCATCTGTAAATGTTTTTTGGAGAGTCTCCTTGTTGGAAAAACTTACATGGAATCACTTGCATTGCAAGAATCTTCACAAGAGCTGATGCAGTGCTGCCTGCCAGAGTGTCTGCTTGATATTTTAAATGTGCGATTACTCTTGGGAAGCTTTTTAGGAACTTGACACGTGGAGTGAGAACATAACATTCCTGTGATGTTGCTTTGCTCAGGAGGGTTGATCTGTTGATCAGAACCTTCTCTCAGCACTTTGAACTTGATGGCCAGGGAAAGCTCTCCGTTCACTTTTTGCTCTGGAGGATTTGACGAGTGGCAGAATATGCCAGCAGTCCCATTATATATAAAATGAACTTTCCGCTGGAACACTTTCAGGATGCTTTAAAACCTCTCATATCCTGCTCTTATTTTATTGTTTCATTGTAGCATTATCAATATTGGTATTTCTAATTTTTAAAACATCAAAAATTGTTAGTGCTATGTATAGCTTCTTCTTCGTGGCCTCTGTGAATGCACACTAATGGGTTAAGTCTGTGTGCGCGCAGAGGCCTTGGAACATTCTAGAGCTAAAGTAACCATTTTAAGACCTCCCCCCAAGCCCTCGTGGTTTGCCCGCCCTTACAGTTACCTCAGTTCCATTTTTTCCGCTGCTGCAGCAGGTCTCGTTTCTAGAGCTCTTCACTAATTGAAATCAGAACTTATCAATCAACTATCTCTTCAGCTAGTTTCGTTCTCAAACCGTTCGTATTCTTCCCTGTTGTTAATATTTTTTAAAAAGGAAGATTTAGAGAGTTTACCATTTAGACTTTTTCCCCTTCCCCCGTTCTCTCGCGTTTCCTGCCCTTTTTATGGCACCGAAGGTCACCTTTAAAATTTGTGCCTCCTGCTGAAAGACGATCCCCTCCACAGATGGGCATCGCTTTTGTCTTTTTCTGTTTGGGCTCACAACCTAAAATGGAGAAGAAAGAGGAAAACAAGCTGTAGAGCAGCTGTATGCTCATTGACAGATGGGCGGGCGAGGTTGATTTTCTTTTCCATGATGTTCTTCCTGGTCAGGACGAGGTGCAACTTACCAGAAGCCCTAGACTGTCTAGCTAAGTGACTGCTTCTGTTTAGCTCTGCTCTTCCTGAGCAACCAAAGCTAGGGCAATTAGAGTAGCATCATTAAATACAAAGCAAACAGTGCACCTCCTTTAATCTCCTGTTCTGCACGGAGAAATTATAAAAGCTATGTGCTTGTGGAACACATCTTAGCAGGGATGGACAAACGTGGTTGGGGTGTTGGGGTTAGGGCAACACACCAGGTTCTGTGAGTTCGGTCAGATGTGGCAAAGTCATTTCCAGTTTGTAAAAGGCTCTTTTAGTTTGGAACAAAAACCATCAGATTTTCTGCAGAAACAAGGTTTTCAACAAAATAAGATGTGGGGTTGCACATCTTATTTTGTTGAAACCCTTGCTTAGGAGAAGTACCCATTTTAATTGAATTTTTTTAGAGTGTTCTGAGGGCTGTAGATATGATCTTGAGGGAGGAATGCATGTAAATCTTAGTTTATATTGACTTATGTTTTTAGAATAATTACTTGGTAAGGAAACCGAAGACATAACAGATTGGAATAAGGAGCTTTGTAAGTAGCTTAACTCGAAAATACCAGGTGAAACCTCCTAAACTAGTTTCTTACTAGACACATCAGTTCTGCAGATTTTATCTGGGTCTAAACCTCCTTTTAGGAACGTGGTGGCGCTGTGGGTTAAACCGCAGAAGCCTCTGTGCTGTAAAGTCTGTAGATCTTCAGCTGCAAGATCGAATCCACGTGACGGACTGAGCTCCTGTCGCTTGTCCCAGCTCCCGCCAACCTAGCGGTTCGAAAGCATGCAAATGCGAGTGGATAAATAGGGACCACCTCGGTGGGAAGGTAACAGCGTTCCGTGTCTAAGTCGCACTGGCCATGTGACCACGGAAGATTGTCTTTGGACAAACGCTGGCTCTATGGCTTGGAAACGGGGATGAGCATCGCCCCCTAGAGTCGAACACGACTGGACAAAAATGGTCAAGGGGAACCTTTACCTTTTTAAACCTCCTTTGACTCTTGTTTAACTAACACAGCTTCTATCATAGACCTGGGAATTGTAATTTTACACAGGGTATCAGCTGAATTATCTAGGCCTGGATAATTGAGTTTAGATCAGTGTTTCCCAATCTGGGGGCCATGACCACCAAGGGGTGTGTGTCACAGAATATTTTCTGGGGCATCGCAGGTTACCTTACGTCTGTTGTAGCCCTTGTCAAATAATTTTTTCCTTCACCTTTCAGAATCTGATATTAAAGTTGGCTTGTATGTATATGTATGAGAAACAGGCACTATGGGGAATGAAGAAGCCTCTACTTTCTGAGAAGGGATGATTGGGACATTTTAATTTTTATTTTTTTTTAACAAAAAAAGAAATGCCAGTGTAAAGATAAAATTGCTGCCACATCCACAAGAAAGGGATTTTAACTATGATGGGTCACTTCTGGAGAGCCTAAACGAGGAAAAGGGAAAAGAAGAATCCCTCCCCCTACAGCAAAGCCCCCGGAGGCGAATACAGAAATAAATATGCATAAGCACCTGGCAGATAGGCTTTGATTGTATTCCTGCCTTGAGCAGGGGGTTGGACTTGATGGCCTTATAGGCCCCTTCCAACTTCACTTTTCTATGATTCTATGAAATGGCACGCCTCTTCTGCAGCTAGTGCAAGGAAAGCGTATGTAGATGGGGGAGGGACTCCTGTCTGTATGAAGGTTTTGTACCCTCCCTTGGTACCACAATGTCCTTCCTCCCCCTGGCCCCTTTTTTAAAGTCCTTGCCTTCCCTTCTTCCTACATTTAACTTTCCACAGCCTGCTCTCTTGCAGGTTTTAAGTGGTGATGGCAGAGGAGCAGTAGGAATGTGACCAGCAGCAGCATGGATGGTACTGCCATGTCAAGGAGTGACACAAATGGCTTATTTATGCAAAGGTGGCAGTGGGGGGGGTGTCACAGGTTCCTTTGCTCTTATAAAACGGGTTTTGACTCAGAAAGGGTTGGGAACCACTGGTCTAGATTATGCTAAACACCTTTGAAGTGTGGTATGCCGTTTGGGGCAAGGATCAACCACACCGCATCTCAGTAACCCTGTTTAGCTTGATATCTAGACTGACCTTTTCCCTTTAAAGGGAAAGAAGACAAAAACAAGAACAACCCCACCCCACCCCACCCCCGTCTCTTACTTTGTATAATCTGCTTAATAATCTTGAAAAATGAGAAGCTTCCTTGCCACTTGCCTCCAAAGGAGAAGGGAGAGGAAGTTTTTGCATGTTAATTGCTGCTAACTGACAAAGTGTATCAGTAGTGCTTTAAAGGGGCTTTGGTGCATTAGCAGCAGTTAAAAAGAAATACAAAATGTCCAAGGAAGCTTCCCATTTCTTAAGGTTTTTAAGTGGCTTAAGGAAATGCACATGCTGGAACTAAGCCAGAACTGAAGGACCCAAAAAGGTATGGATAGGCATCAATCAGCCACAGTTTCTACCATTGGAAAGCACTTCATTCTTAGGGTTGATGCATTGGTAGTATATGGTAAACAGGATGTGCTGTTGCTAGTCTTCCTTTGCTCTAAGTAAGTGATCAGCCCTATTTGGAAAGGTTAAACACATATTCTTAAAACCTAGAGGTTTAATCTCCCTCAGGGTTGTCAGCTCTTAAGCGGTCCTCTCACTGGTCTTTCTGAGTTTGTTGGCACAGTATGGTCATAATAGCAGAGAGGACCCCTTTTCATTCCTGTTCCTTTGCCTTTGAAGTGTTTTGACATGAACTCAGATACATTCTTGAAACCTGAAGATGCCACTGCCAACGTGGATGAAGTTCTTAAGAATTCTGAGCTGGCTATTACCCAAGAACTGGACATTTTTCTAACTGTAAGTTGGCTTTCTTTTTCTGCCTTTTTAAAAACGACTCTTTGTCTTTTGGCTAGAATATGTTGTTGTCTGAAAGTTTCATTATAAGGTAAGAAGCAGCATTGTCTAGGCTTTATTGGTCTGAATGGGGTTTCATTCCTTGGAAAGGGCCAGGTTTGCAGCTGGAGGGGGGGTTGCACTCCTGAGACCATTGTTCTGAGAAGGCTGTTGTGGCCAGGAGAGCTTTTTCCCAGCTTTAGCTGCCATGCTAATAGAGCAAAGGTATACAGTACAAATAGTAATAAGAAATAAAATTAAGTTTTAGCAACATCAGATATTCTCAGTGCATATCTTCTCTCCTTTCTGAATCCCATTTATTATTTGCACACCACTAGGCAATGTATAAAACATACACGATAAAATGAACACTGTATATGCTTCTGCATGGAACTGAATCACTGTATTAACACAATAGATTAGTGTAAATTTGATCAACATACTTGTGTGGGTTCTGAAGTGATATTTAGCTCGAGGTCATGTGTAGCAAGTCATTTTCATCCCATAGTTTTAATTTTATTGCTTCTGCTTAACTGTGTGTTACAGATGTATGTGTTGTGTTCTTAGAGACTGTTTTGATTTTGGAGTCCAAATCCCATTAATTATGCTGGCAAGCAAATTAGCTCTTGTTATTTAATTGAGTGATGTGAGAAAGTATTAGCAAAATAGACAAAACTGATCTTTTTTCCCTTTGTAGTCTTCATTTTTTGAAAACTACATTGTAAACATTTCTAGATAGTGGAAGCTGAGGGCACATCCTAAGCGGGGGAGTCTGGTGTGCACTTAAGAGGTTCTTTAATGTGATCTTCTTTATCTCTCACTTGGGGGGGGTCCTTCCATTCACACTAATTGACATTTTTTCCCATGAGAAGAAGAGTCTAGAGAAGTCTTTAGATCGCCCCAGTTTGTCCCCCTTTCAATTAGTGGCATTCTCCTTCCTGCACCCTTGACTGCTGCTTCCTGTGGCCATCATTCAGCAGGCTGCAACAATTTTGCTTTTTTAAAATTAAATTAAGTGAGATAGCGAAACAGCAATGCATATACCTAGCATTATACACATAATGCCGCCAATGGATCTTGTTTATCTAGAAAATAGCACTGTGTCAACAGTGTCAAAAATATTTAAAACATTTTAAAAAATAGAGTACAGTGGTGCCTCGCTTAACAGGCACTCCATTTAGCGACGAAACCGCATAGCGATGAAGATTTTGCGATCGCAAAAGCAATCACATTGCAATGTTTTAAATGGGGTTTTTTCGCTTTGCGATGATCGGGTCCCTGTTTCGCTTACCGATCATCGCAAAGCGATGATTTTTTAACAGCTGATTGGCGGTTCCAAAATGGCCGTCGGGTAAAAAAATGGCCGCCCGCTGTGTTTAGGGACGGATTCCTCCCTTAAGAGGCAGCGAAAATGGCCGCCGTATGGAGGATCTTCGCTTTAAGGTCAGTTTTTTGCCCATAGGAATGCATTAGACAGGTTTTAATGCGTTTCTATGGGCTTTTAAAAATCACATAGCGACGAAATCGCTTAGCAGCAATTTTTGCTGCATGGATTAACGTCGCTATGCGAGGCACCACTGGAGATGAAAATACAGTGGTGCCTCGCTAAATGATTACCTCGCAAAATAGTTAATTCGCAAGACGATGGGTTTTTGCGATCGCTATAGCACTTCGCAAAACGGTTTTCCCTATGGGTGATTTTCGCTAGGCAATGTTTCGGTCCGTGCTTCGTAAGATGGTTTTTTTTTTCGGGACCGTTTTTCGCAAGACGATTTTGACAGCTGAGTCCGCGCTTCGCAAAACAGTTTTTTAAGGGACGGTTTTTCACAACACATCAATTTTGACAGCAGGGTCTGTGCTTCGCAAAACAATTTCTCTGGGCGATTTTCGCAAGACAACGATTTTTTCCCCATTGGAACGCATTAAATAGATTTCAGTGCATTCCAGTGGGGAACTGCATTTCGCAAGACAATGTTTTCACAAGACAGCGATTTTCGTGGAACGAATTAACATTGTCTTGTGAGGCACCACTGTAGAGGGTGGTGGTTCTCCATCATCTCTTCCAATGTCACAACCTACCAATGCGCCACAGGGTCGTCACCTCAGGTAACAATGCCCACAGCTCTATTTTGGTGCATGCTAGCCATTCACACAGGCTGACGAATTAGCTAATTAGGAGCACTTCAAATTGCTGCAAAACAATTGTAGTCCTAATGCAGTGCCAAAAAGGAGAAGTACAGCTCTGAAAAGGGGTGGGATGGATAAGTCAAAACACGTGAATGTCATAAACCAAACAGCATCAAAAATGATCCCAGTAGCAAGTTATTCTGCCAGTGCAGACATGCCCTAACTTCTGTGTGTGTTTGAAAACAGCAAGGCTGTCATCTGGTAACTTTGTAGAGTTCATCATGCAAACTATGGCAAAACAGGAGGCTTGCATTCAAGTGAGAACTATTGATTCATCCAGAGAACAAAATGAACCAATCATACTGGTTTAACATAAACTGCTTATTGTTCTCTTTAAGAACTTGGAACATTCTGCCTCCTGTTGTTTCCCTTAAGAATGGTATTCATATTTTCAGATGTTGAAATCAAACAGTTGTGTGCACTTACAGGTATGTTATTTGCTTATAGATAATTATCTGTAATTTCATTTAGGAACAGGATGAAGTGGACAAAAAAATTATCTTAAATGTGTACAGCGAAGTCATGCAGAAGATCCACCAGGAACAACAACTCTTAAGCACTGTTTATCAGAAGTATCTTAACAGTGTTGAGGTCAGTTTGTCCCAGCCATTTATTGTCATGTTTATTACTTTAGGAAAACATTTTAGAGATGCTAAATGTTTTGTCTATGAATCTTTCTTGAATAATAATAATGTCCATTTCTAATTACCCATATAATATTTTAAAGAGTTATGTAAGCCAGATATTGGATATAACTGCTTGAAATGCTCACTGCATTAAAAAAATACTAAGTGACTTTACATTACAGATAGTGGCCAGAATCCTGTTTGTGATTTGTGCCTGCAGAAGGAAAGTCATGTAAATTTTGGCAGCAAATTGCCATTCATGAATGAGTGTTGGTGGCATTCCTGGATGTGATCATGTGATTGACTGCTCGTCCAGCAATGCAGTCAGTTTTTCACTAATGAGCAGCAAATTGCTATCAAGACTTACACAGTTTCCCTCACACAAGCGTAAATCAGCATTAGGATTCTGGTCAGCATGTTGTTAGAAGAGAAAATGCCTTGTGGGTTGAAAATGTTTGGGTATCAGAGCAGAACGCTTTTGTACCTTCTGTAGTTTTCACATTAGATGGTTTTGTGACAGGCCATTAGAAGGCAAGAACAGACTTTGTAAGTTTGATTGTTCAGTCTGCGAAAATCAAATCTTTGGATTATTTAAAGATTCCATCTTCTAATTAAATGCTATCTTTAAAATACAATTGGACTTTTGAACTCTAATATAGTAATTTTTAGAGATTTTTTCTATGCAAATAGTGCTGTTTTTCCAAACTTTGGTTTTGTTTGCTCTTGAATTTAGACAGTCACCTTTTCATTTACTTCAAGTATTACTTATTTCTGTAAAGTAAATGTATGATTTATTCATTCTGAATGTTGAAATGTTTTGTACTGTAGAGACTGTATAAAGGCACTTGCTCCTAGTGATGATTTGTTCTTTTTAGTTAAAGCAGCAGATTGTGGAATGGCTGGGTACGAGCCCGAACATTGATGAGTTGTTACTGATTAAGAAGAAAATGAAAAACATAAAGGCTCAGCTGAGATGGAAGTTGGTGGAAAGAAACAACTTGGAAGAAGTATGCCAATTGTGTTTTAATGCATAAAACTCTCCTTATGAAACTAGCTGATGAGAGAGCGCATATTTTCCTACTGTTCATGGAAACCAGCAGATGACTGCCTGAGAGAAGCTGCTACTTTCTGGCACTTGAGCAATTTCCCCTTTATATGATGTATTCATGCAAACTCTGTGCAAGTGATAGCCTGTGGAGAATTTGATTAAAACAAATAAAGTAACAAGGGAAAAGGATAGGCAATGGGGGAAGAGCTGCCAAGAAAACATTTAAGTTGTAGCAGAACAGTAAGGAGTCTTAGGATACCTTAAAGACAGTCAAGTTTTGAAGAAGTGGGCTAGATTTCACAAGAATTGCTCCCAAATGCTTAGTGCCACAGAACTCCTTTTTTCTTCAACCGACTAACATGGCTACCTCCCAGAAATTTAAATTGCCTGAAACTGCAGCCCGGAGAAGTCAAGGAGAGAGTGCAGAATATTGACTGTAGGGAGGGAATAATTTTTACCTGTTTCATTGATGGTAGGCCTGTAAACAACTAAAGCCAAAGTTTCCTGTCACAGGGTCAAGCTAAATGTGGCTGTTCCGGTGTTGTTGGATTACAGCTCCCAGCAGCCTTAGCCAGTGCTGAGAAATGGCAGGAGTAATAAGTTTGAAAACCATCTGGCAGGCTATCCTTTGCCCACGTTTCTTTCATTGTCATAATTCTACATTGGAACTACTGAATAGGGGCTGTGGTGTGATGAGCAATTGGAATGGCACTAGCTCCGTAAGTGCAGGCTTGAAATGAAAGGAGGAGGAATATATGGTAGTTATGCAGCCTGAATGTGGAGGGTATTACAGTAGATGGTGGCTGAATGGGGAAGAAGCAGTGCAAGGTTTTGTAAGTACCCAAAGAAGAACCTTGTTACCTTTCTAAGTTAGAGATCAACTCCTGCTAGATAAGACCAAAAGCTTCTCTGATCCAGCATCCCCTCCCTCAGTGACTGAGCAAGGAGGTCTGCAGCCAGGACACAAGGTGATAGACTTCTCCCCCTATTGTTCTTCAGCAACTAGAATGCAGAACTCTGCTAAACACGGCTATATATCCTTCTTGGACTAGTCTAGTAGCCATTGGTAGCTTTATCCTGCACAGAGTTGTCTAATCCTTGTAAATCTACTTGTAAATTTAGTAAGTTTCACAGTGGGAGTAGTCAAGTCAGGTAAGAGAAATGCAAGCCCAAAGCTGCGAGAACACATAATTTACAGCCTTTTGTCTCAGAAAAGCTCATGTTAAAAGTTCTCTTGGTTTCATCTCCGATGCAGCAGTGTAAAATCTGAACATTGTCAGCTTTCCAGTATTAGTCTCAAAATGAGAAAGTTGGCATGCTGTATTTTCTTTTATTTCTGGCCAGGTGTTTGTCTGTTTTTTTATTGACAGAGCACCTTTCTAGAATGTTGAAGAAGTAGCCATGTTAGTCTATGCAGGCGTATCAGACAAAAAACAAGCAAACAAAACAAGAGCCAAAAATGTTGCTGCATCTTAAAGACTAAGTGCTGTATTTTAGCGTGAGCTTTTATGGGTCTACTTCCTCATACATAAGACTGAGACTATGTGACTCTCAAATTTATGCATGGCCCTATGACCAGGTAGAGATAAAAATAAGGGACAAAGTGACAATAGTTCATAAGTAACTGGATAGACTAAGCTGTAAATAATGTCAAGTATATCAGTCTAAAAGATAACAATAGCATAATTGACACAAGTGGCAAACTGTGGGTGTCGTAGGATTTCACACTTGGGAATGATACTTGGCTGATATTCAGTCCTTTTAATTGTGTATCCATTTAAAATCAGAAAAGACATTCCATAGATTTGATGGCTTTAACCTCAGATGTCTTTTTTGAGACTAAATGGCATTCTCAGTGTAGCAATAGCTGACCTCAGCGTTGGGTAATTTCTATATTGGACCGTTCCGTGGTCTAGAAAAGGTTTCGCCCAACCCTGGTTTGGGATGCTGCTCCTAGACTACTGAACTGTGTTTCTTTTTGGAATTCATAATAGCTGATGTTTCTTGAGACAGTAATACCTTAATCTGCTCAAGTGATGATTTTTTAACATTTCTGCCTCCAGTCTGATGACTATAGTGAGCCTGAAGTGGCAAAAATAAAAGAAGAAATCACAGAATTACGAAATGAGTTATTTCAGGAAGTGTACAAAGAGCAAGAAGAATATGTAAGTATTCAAATGTATAAGCTCCCTTTGAAATGCATTTTTGAGAAAACTTGAAAGGTGAACATCCATAACAGGGATCCTCTTTCTTTACTGAATATGCATCGTTTGGGGTGGCATATCAAATGAAGACACACCCATCTGTGGAATTTGTAAATCCAGTTTTCACAGTCTCCCTAGTTAAGCTGTGGATGACTGGAGAAGCTGCTGTGTTGGTAAAAGGGCAGTATTAGATCTCTTGATTTTTTTTTCTTTCAGTCAATGGAGCAGAGATCAGTTCCCTAATGGGTAGGTATAAATTGGAGAGTGCAGCCTCTGGCCCACGGCTCAAATCTTGCTTATAATAGTAGCTTGCTTGGCTCATGGAAATCTGTTGGCAAGCCCTGCTTCTTATGCAAACTCATCTGCAGCTGAAATCCTTGTCCCCACAGCTGCCTCTGAAGGGAATCCTCATTGTCTCCAGTCCCCAATCCTGGTGTAAATGGTATGCAGTGGGGCTTAATCCAGCTATATGGTGTGCGAAAACAAATGATCTGCACAAATTCTCAGTTCTCTGTCTTTGATCTCAAATTCACCACTTGTGGTACTATCAGTTTAATAGGCCAGATAGGGTTTACAAAAATATAATAGTATAACAAGGTGAGAGGTAATTATATACAGTACTAGAGAAAATATGTCTGTCAATAAGTAAAGAACATGTATGACAAAAAAGGTAGTGAGTGATGTCTTCGACTTCTCCCAGGTGGCAAGGACAAATTCTTAGATGATAGGGCAGATTCTCGTGTCTGCCCTCTAACACTCTTGAAGGCATACATTGAAAACGTAGAGCGGTAAAGGCCTTGCGAAGGGCAAATGTAGTTATCCAGGTCAAATAATTTTCCATGACAAAAGTTGACTTATAGAGTGGGAGTGAAGAGGAATAAGGCGAGCTAGAGATGGTGCAAAGGTCTATCAGTTAATTTGGCTCCCAGTGGTATTGCATTGTGTTATTTTCATGATGCGGTGGTTATAGCAGAATGTGTCTTTTAATTTAGGAGAAGCTTAATCATCTGGCACAGAAATGGTTCCCTGAGTTGCCACTCCTTTATCCCGAAGCAGGAATTCAAAGATACATGGTAGGTCTTGATTTATTTTCTGGGAAATAAGGTGGGAAGAAGTTTCTTTCCTTAACAAGTTTCTATGATCACATAGTCCTGTTCTACATATAGTGTTCTAGACCAGCCATTCTCAACAGGGTTCCTCTAGCCCATGGTACTTTTGAAAGGAGCCACAGACTGAAAAATGTAAGAAGTTTCTGGAAGATATCTGTTCATGTTGTATCTTTGTTTGGCAGGGGATCCCGGAACATGAGAAGAGCTGCTAAACAGGCTGTGGCAAAAAAAGGGAAAAAAAGAAGCAACTTGAGAATAGCTGGTCTAGACTGATAGGTGACTGTGGTTGCTCTCAAAACCCTCTTATCTCATGCAGCTAGGAAGAGAACTTAATCAAGATGCAATTTCCATAGTTCCTGGCTTGTTGTTGCATGCAAACTAGGAATTGTGGTTTGAGACAGACTAGTGCTGTGTGCATCACTTGTGGGACAAAAAAATCATCTATGGTGAGACATAGGGTTTTCGTAACACTAACAATTCAGTCTTCTTCCCCAATCCCAGTGTCTTCCTTTAAGTAAGATATTTGACATCTCCTAACAACAGGACCTATCATGGTTTATCGGTTGCATTCTTCTAGCATACTAATAGTAATGTTCAGCACTCAACATTTCTCCTAACCCCATTTTCCTTATCCACAAAATAAAATAACTTTACATTTACAAATATATACATGTTTTTCTCAGAAAGAAAGTGGTCTTTTTTCATATAATGGTAGGACTCAGGTTCTTTGATGGTGTCATTTGCTGAAGGTAAGATGAATGATTGATAATCCTAGTCACTAGGGCCAAACAGCTTGCCGCTGACATGCTTAGCAATTAACAAAGGTTTGTCTGATATCCATGTTGCTTGTTAATACTTAATGTCAGGGATTGTTGAACCAGAATCCTGGTTACATAAATACTTGGACAAAGGAGGGGAAGGAAGTGTGTAAGCCCAAGGATTTGTGAATGTGGTCATTGTGTTGAAATGCAACATCTCTGAAGAAGAAGAGAGTAGCAGCATCCACCGTCTCCTCAAGAACCAGAACCTTTAAAATCTGAGTTAAACTGGAGAGTGTGAGTTATATTTAGAAGTTTTTGGCATCAACGTGCACCGCTCCATATTAAGATAACACTGTATTTGTACTCAGTAGAGCTTCTATCCAGTGTATATCAAAATATGTTTTTAAGTTAAAAGAGGAAAATACTCCCCTGAGGTGGGGATAGTGAGAGGTGTAATCTAACACATTTTGAGGGCACCTGCTTGTTGAAGACTGTCTTATAATATTATGGGATATAAATATGGGAAGTGGAGACTCCCATAAAGATAAGAAAGCTTTCCCTTTGCTAGATACAGTATATTGCAGTGTTTTCAACCCATATTACTAGAAAATTGCCCCTTTCTCTTTCTTCCTCTCTCCAGAAACCTCTCCTTTCATTGTTTACAAACCCTGAACCCATGACCACGGGGTGGGGAAGAGGAGGTGCCCTTTTTTCTGTCTTGCCTCTTGAATTCCACCCCACCCATCTGTTCGGCCACAGTAGTGCTCGAAAGACTGACCAACAGTTGTCCCGACCCACAGATTCTTTACGGTCTTTGTGTCCACGCTTGGTTTTTCTCTTTGGACAACCTAGTTAATTCTGTGTTATATACACAGTTATATCTGCATAGTATTGGGATTTACAAGGCAATTTATGTGATCTCTGGATTCTTCAGACCTCGGGAGGACTTCTGACCGTCAGTTTGGAACGTGATCTTCTAGATGCTGAACCAATGAAGGAACTGAGCACAAAACGCCCTGTGGTTTGCTCAGAGGTTCGAGGGCAAAAGGTTCTCCTAAAGGTAGACTTTATAGTTTGCTTTGTAAAGCTAATAATAAGAGAGAGCCATTGGAGAGCTTATGAATTCTTAAATTTCAGTGTTAAACATACAAGTCCTGCTGCTGAGCTGGCAAACATACTGCATGTTCCTAGAAACCAGTGTTTGATGTTCAGGTTTCTGAGCAGCAACAAAACACCTGGGAATTCTTCTGACTTCTGTCTTTGAGTCTGAAAAAAATCATTCTTTGAAGGAGATAGCACATAATTACATGCTAGTGGTTGGGCAATAATACTTGTCCAATAGTCTGTGTTTATCTCCTGATGATCCGCTGCAAAACAAGGTAATTTGTTTGCAGGCTGTGCAAGGTGTAGAAGGTGTGTGCTGAGACAATAAAGCATCGGTAAATTCTTGAGGAATTGACTCTTCTAATAACATGCTGTCTGTGATGAATATAGTTTGATTGTGAGTCCAATTTTTCACAAGTCAGGAATGATGGCTGGGTATTTCTGATGACAGCCTTGTTTGAAAGCTCCTTATTGTGTCAATTTAGAGCAAGGCTAGAGAAACTGTAGTCAACCAGATTCTACTGGAGCACATATCCCATCATAGCTGCCCGTTATCAGTGCTGGCTAGGACTGATGGAAGCGGTAGTTGAACAACATCAATGGTTTTGTTTCCAGTTCTTAATTTTTTCCAGTGGCATCCTTGGCTGAAATCCTGTCGCTTAATTATACATGTGGAAGGCAAATGGCACAACACTCAGTCTTTTCTAGCTGGTAATTAACAGGTCATTGCTGGGATTCTCAGGATTGCACTTGTCTGCTAACTTGGTATATGCTTGAGAACCCCAGCAGGGACTTGTGGATTGCTGGCTAGAATTAACTGAATGTTACGCTATTTGCCTTCTGCATGCATAATCAAGCAACAGTATTTTCAACCACTTTAAAAAAAATTAGGAACATAACATCTGCACTAGAACATGATAACTTTGAGAGCAGAATCCAGTTGAAGAAAGTCATAATGTAATGCTCCATGTGACCTCTGGTTTGCAGTTGTGTAAGCCTTTGATTAACCCATTCAAAACAAGAGGGCTTCTGATTGTGTAAAAGAGTAGTGAATACCCCCTTGTGCAGATACCAAGGAAAAGTAACTGTACACATGACAGAATGCTGTGCATGCAGTAAAAACAAACAGGACTCTCCCATATATATTTCACAGCTCACAAAGTAAATTATAGGTAAACACATTACATCCCAAATTAAATCTTAAAAAGAGTGACATATTATTAGCATCCGTTGTTTTCTTTATATTTCTTAAACTTTTGAGGGTTCAGTGGAGAGCAATATTATCTCAATGGTTAGCCTTCTTTTTAATATTAAGTTGTATTTCTTTATTCATGTACAGGGATACACAGTGGATATGAATACTGAAACAGAAGTGATAGAGAGAGCAGCACAGTATCACAAAGTCTGGAGAGAACTGAAGGAGGAGTCTGGTCTAATGCAGCTGATGTTCCTGTTTTTGTGCAAGGCAGGTTATAAACTGACATGTACTCCTTTTTTTTGCAGCTGAAATGCTTTGTATAAAATAGAAGTTGGGTCTACTCACAAGTGATGATAAACCAGGCAATTTTTAAATCATGACTCACTGTAGACTAATGAGTGTACTGGATAGTGGCAGTTGGGCTGTAAGGACAGGCAGGATGTGGTTCACCTTTACCTGATGGCTCAAAATGATAGGAGAGGCCACACTTCTCCCAGCAGTGGATAATGCGGTCTGATTCTGCAGAAGCCTGCTGCACCACCACATAAGAGACTATTCTTCAGTTGAGTTAGAGGTTAATGCCAGTATCCTATGGAGCGTCTTCGGACCAGAAAATCCCACATCCATGCACATGCTGAGCACTCTTCATTTGCACAAGAGCAACACTTGCACTAGCGGTGCAATCCCTCATTACTGTATTTGTAAGTCTGTTCAGTGCTTGCTCAGGGGGTTACTGGCTCTAATGTTAAAGGGTTCCACTCTAGTAACATTGCAAGAGAAGAGAAAGGAAACAAAACCAGAATGAGCTAACACCACCATTGCTGATTGTGGCTTCCCTTCCTATGGCCACCTCTAACAGTGTGCACTAGCCACCCCAAGTGCTGGCACATGCTGCTCGGTTGGTAGTTCTTGGCTCTTTCTGCCCGTGTGAGCATGTTAGCAAGCCAGAGCTCGGTCTCTGTGAATGGTTTGATGCAGGGCGTACTAAACAACTTAAAGGCCACCTCTTCTCCAAACTCCTGTTGATTGGTGTTCCTAGACAATGTGTCAGTGGGAAATTTTCTGACATACAGTTTGGCCACGGAACTGACTTCCTTACCTTCTTTGTGTAGAGAGGCAAAACTGCACATACTAAGCGTGTGCTTCAAAACCTGGCTGGGTGCATTTTGCCACCCCTTCCGCTCCCCTTCTGAGTAGGAAGGTGAGCAGAAGGAGAAGAGTAAGCAGGGGCGTGATGGGATTTTGATTTATTCTGACATGCAAACCTGGCTCATGGTAGGCCTGAACCAAGAATCAAACTAGATGTTAAAGGGAAATGCATATTGCTTACAATTAACTGTTTTTCCCTCCCAATGTGGGAGTTGTTCTTAGATATATGACTCGGCAATCACACATATAAATTAAGCCCACGTCTACCTTTCTGACCTGTCACAAAACAAAAGAGTGTGCTATATTGGTGAGGAAAGTAATGTGCCACAAACAGACATCTTTCACCACTTGGGGGAGCACATTGGCAAAGAACAATAAATATATGACCTGATTTGTTCCATAATAACAATTTCAGTAGGTATTTCTTAACATATAGAATAAAAGCAGTACAGGTACTATATTAAGGAGATTTATTCAATATGTAAAAACAACAGCAACCGATAATTCTAGAATTGTTGCAGTATCTTGACGTATGATTAATTCTGCAGCTGTGCACATTGTTGTTTTGATTTTGTTTGTAAAGTTTGATCCTGTTGCCTATCTGATGGTCCCATATTATGCTGGAGCAAGCTTAGCCGTATTGCAGACTACAATGCCTTTAACTCCAGAAGTAAGTACTGTACTATGTTACTATGTATGCAGTTGTGCACACATTCCCGGAGGGTTATGGGCACATTCTGGGATTCATTCACGCTTTGCTTTGCTTTGCTTTGTTACAAATGTGTTGATTATTTCAACTAGGAAACCTGGAAAGTCATGAAAGGAGTAGCCCGGGGTCTATATTCACTACATACAGCTGGTATAATTCATGGCTCCTTACACAACAAAAACGTTTTTGCTATAAATCGAGAACAAGGAATTGTTGGTGACTTTGATTTCACCAAATCTGAGGTAATATAAATTGTTTTCAATATGAATGGAGGTGCTATGTTGTCTGTGTTCTTATGAATGTATTTTCTTTTTGAGACTGCAAAACCCCAGATTTTTCAGATTGGATCTCCTGAGAGTAGTGTTATGCTCTATTATTTTGATGCTGCTGATATGTGGTTTAGTTGCTTGTGAGAAATAACCTTTAAAGCAGGGGTCTCAAACTCAATTTACCTGGGGGCTGCTTGAGGCAGAGTCTGGGTGAAGCTGGGCCGCATCAGATTTTCCATCAAGCAGAGCAAGAGCCCGAGGAAGCCATCCAGGAGTTTCCTTAGCCCAGCTGGGGCTCCACCAACAGCAGCAGCAGGACGCAGAAGCAGACAAGGGAGGGAGCGCCAGCAACCGCCTAGCCACTGGCGGGGGGGGAGGCACGACATAAAAAAAAAACCTCACAGAATCACCCCTATAGGTATATATATAAGCAAACAGAAATCTTAATAATGGAACAGAAAAGTTCCAATAATTGAATAAATAAAGTCTTAAGGTTATTACATTTAATCCTGCTTGCATATTCAATAAAAAGAAATAAAATAATTCTTCCGGATACTTTGTGTGCTTCTTGAGCACAATATCATTCTAAAGGATGTCCAGAGAGAAAGTCGTTTGTACATAATAAATCTTCTGGTTCACACTGCATGCAAACCCCCCCTACATAGGGATTGTTAAGTGTGATGGATTTCAAAGGCAGAACAGACAAAGAGTATTACAAATTATAGTGCTCTGAAGGCTTGTGTACTGTTCACCCTGCTCATGAATATTTATGTTGAAATTTGCATGCACCAATAGAAGTTGGTGGGGCAGAGTTAAACGGGGGGGGGAAAGGAGAGAGAAAAGGGGAAGAGATTAGAAGAAAAGATTTTAGTTGAGAGTTAACGACATTGACTGGACTTTTAACTCTTCTAACAATAAACAATTTTTGCTTGGTTTTTAAATGATACGTTGCCCAGACCTCTGTCAATAATAGTGAACAAAGTTAATGTAATCAACTGGTGGCAGCAGAACGACACGTAATGTGTAGTGTGCACCTTTGCTTGGTGAAACAATCAAGGGTCATGTGGGAATGTGACAGCTTGGTACACAAGTCATCTAATGACTTGACAGCACTGTTCTATATTAGTGCCTAACTGGGCTATGAAAGAGAGAGAGATCTTACTAAAGATTTGGTAGCTCACAGCTATCGGAATTTTGGATCTAGCTGGTGTGGCAGAGAAAGCACATGCTAAATTCTCATTAAAACCTGAGATCTGTTAGAAGCTGAAGAGATGCAATTCAGGTGGACCTTCATGATTAAGCAGTCATCTTTGAAAATGAAACCAGAGCTTGTCTCCTAGTGACCGGTCACAAAACAAAGGAAGTTAATTTGTAAAATGCAGGAGGCACGAGAGGTTTCTGCTGTGACAGTCAGATGGTTTCAGTATTTAAGGAATTCCCACTTGTAATAATAGGCTATTCGTAATGTACTGAGAGCCCTATAGTTTGTAACTTAGTGAGAGATGTACAGTACGTTCAGCCTTCATTGATCACCAATGGCTACATCTGGTGCCAAACAGAAATATGACTTTTTGACTGCTGTTTTGACTAGCGTAGATGTCCCATTGTTATAGAGAGGCAAATGAGTTTTCCTTTGTAATTCCAAGCTGTAACCTTTCATTTGTTCCAGTGGCAGCGTACTTTGTTGAATTCATCAGAACTGAAAGGTTTGAGCTTGACTCCTCCTGAAGTAAAAGAAGGACAACCACCATCTCCGGCTTCCGATATATATGCTTTTGGTTGCCTGCTGTACTGGGTATGTAATCCTTCATTTGTGAACACATCAGCTCGATTACAAAACACAGCATCTGCCTCCCAGAGTATATAGGAAATACTTTTATCTTAAATTGTGAGTTATGTTTTGGGTAGAATTACCATTTCCATAAATGTTCGAGTGTGACATCTCCAGAATGATTTGTTTGGGTTGTTCTTGGGCCACTTACAGATGTAAGCTAGTATGTGTTCATTTTTATTCATCTTGTATTCTTTGGATTGATTGTTTTTCATGGTCTCCGTGAATCACACACATACGTAGTATTCAGCGTGCATGTGTGTAAGCCTCATATATTCTAGAGCTTGAAAAACAAAGATTTTTGTCACCCCTCCCAGTGCGCATGTATTGGTGCGCAACAGCCCAGCTCTCTGTTCTTTTTAGCCGTCTCTGTGGAAGCTTCTAAGGAACATGCCTAGACCTATTTCCTGTCTTTTGGAAAAAATCTCCTTGTCTTTCTTTTTTGGACCTTCTCCTTTTCGTCTTTGTCTTAAAAAAAAAAAAAAACACTGTCCTTTTTTGTAGGAAACAAGTAGGCTTCAACTATTAACATACATTTAATTCATGATACATACAAACTGTATTATAGTTAAATGTTTATCTGATGTATCCCTGTGCTACGTAATTTATTATGGCATAAGGTTAACACATGTTAGTCCTTAAGGAAACACAAGATTATCATTTATTTGTTACTTTTTCTGCCACAGAAAGAGACAGATACTTTCCGGAAGTATTCTTGTCCTGTACAATGTTAATGTTCATTAAGAAAATTTACAGTCTAGGTCAGCAGAATAAACGCAGTAGACCAGGGGTTTTAAACTCAATTTACCTGGGGGCCGCTAGAGACAGAGTCTGGGTGAGGCTGGGCCGCATCAGATTTTCCGCCAAGAGCCCGAGGAAGCCGCCCAGGAGTTTCCTTAGCTGACAGACAGGCGGGCTGGCTGGCAGGCTGCAGTTCTGGATGGAGGGTGCAAGAGGTGCTGTCTTGGGAGAGAGCCGGCGAGCGAGGCAAGGCTTTTTTTTTTTTTACTCTTGACAGCAGAGGGTGGGTGGGCGCTTTGGGGGGGGAGGCAAGGCGAGGGCCACAAACTATCATCTGGGGGGCCGCAAATGGCCCCCGGGCCGCATGTTTGAGACCCCTGCAGTAGACAGAGTAATATTCTCTGTTAGACTTTTAGTCAGGAAGCAATTGAGGGGGGCCCCATCGTCCTTTCCTAGTTCTCCCCACCTGCATTCGAAAAACCCGCTCTCGAAGCCTGTGAAACTATTAAGAGCAAATTTTCAGGAGGAAGTGAGGGCTTTGCGAGGAGGAAGTGATGTCATAGTACTACCCTGACACTGAATTAGAGGCCAGAGCTGCCTTGTGGGCAAATAATGGCTGAAATCAAGTAATGTAAAGTTGTGCTACGCAAGCCTGATGATGGTCCTGGCAGCAGTGGTTTTCAGACTTTATTTAAGACTCCAATCCCATTGTCCCCAAAATCTTTCCCTGGACCAAAAGAGACCCTGGAAACCTTGGGGTAGGGGGAAGAATAGGAAAGTTTTTATTAACAAAATATGATCATAACTGTTGATGTCATCTGACTTTCACAAAGTAACTTTATGTTACTAGATTTCACCAGTATGTGCTTATATCTTTTACTTAACAAAAACAAAACTCTTGGCTAGTTAAATGTGTATCCATCTATTTTCAGCCAGAAGCAACTGTGAGAGCATAATGAGATACTTGAAATAGCAGCAGTATTACGTTTTCTGGAATTTTGTGTTTGAAATAATTTTTATCATTTCTCAAAATGCACAGCTGTTAAGCGGAAATAAAGGGTTTAAAATAAACAAAGACGGGACTCCTGAAATTGATGGACTTATTATGGTATGTTTACTTACCTACCTTTTTAAAACTGGCTACTGGATAAAGAAATAATCAGTTGTTAGATATTCAAACAGTGTGGGTCCAGAATGACTAAGTGTAGCAATTCTTGGTCCTAGGCAGAACCCCTTTTCTCTATTCCCCTGCATCACCTTTGTTGTTGTTGTTGTTTAGTCGTGTCCGACTCTTCATGACCCCATGGACCAGAGCACTGCCTCCCAGAGTTGGGTCAAATTCATGTTGATAGCTTCGATGACACTGTCCAACCATCTCTTCCTCTGTCATCCCCTTCTCCTCTTCCCTTCACACTTTCCCAACATCAGGATCTTTTCCCGGGAGATTTCTCTTCTCATGAGATGGCCAAAGTATTGGGGCTTCCGCTTCAGGACCTGTCCTTCCAGTGAGCACTCAGGGTTGATTTCCTTCAGAATGTTTTGTTCTCCTTGCATGTCACGCTCACGGGTAGGCATGTCATGCTTGTGGAGGGGCATGTCGCGCTTGCGAAGGGGTGTGTCGCACTCATGCGCATCGCCACAAGCGTGACATGCCCACCTGCGAGTGCGATACGCCCACCCACGAGTGCAGCTTGCTCACCCGCAAGCGCAACATGCCTATCGTGCATGCGGGGGTGGGGGAGATCCGTGTCCGTGGCCCATTTCAAGGAAGCCCGCTGACCAGGGGTTGGGGACCCCTGCTATAGAGTACTGGCTGGGGAAATGCTTGCACTGTTGATCCACTGATGTTGGGGATGTAGCTCTGCCTCCTGACATCATTCAGCATGCTGGAGCAGGTCTTCAGGGGAACATCCAGTCCCCTGCTTCCAAATGCTCTCCACCACGTCTTAAAGATTAGTGCAATATGTCTCTGTTGTAATGAACAGAATAGTAACTTCTGAATTCTGTTGCATTTTCCAGGCCATTCTCAGTGCATGTACAATATGTAATGCACTGTAGCAGAGTGTGGGAACCTCTGGAGATCTCCTCTCTGGATAATCATTTCCCTCTTTTTTGTGTGCCATATTAGTAATCTATGCCTAGATGGACAAGAACATGCAGCCATTTTAATATCTATGTTTTTTCAACTTGTATGATCTTTCTCTCTCTCTCTTTTTTTGTCTTACATGTTTATGTTTTTCCCCTTTTTTTAAAGGATGGTAAAGCTAAATCTCTGCTCATGAATCTTCTATGTTGTAATAGTCGAATGACCTCTGAGCAACTGCTGAATGATAGCTATTTCCTCTCACCCAATGTGGTCCCCCTTCCACTGGCAGATGAACAAGCTGAATGTGGAAACAGCAGAGAAACAGCAGAAGATAAAATGGTGTCTGATGTTCAGCAGGGTGAAGAGGAGGAACTCGTAGAAACAAGAGAACCTGATGATTGTGAAGGTGAAGAATCGATGGAAAGTCAAACTAAACAGGATTAGCATAATTTGGGAGCCCTAGAGCTCTACATTTCTAAGTTTAAAAACTGCGGAAGAATACAAAAAAGTGCAACAGTTACCTTGAAAGTTTGTTTTCCTTTGTTTTCTGCTTTGGCTTTGCATATATTTATTGCATGTAATATGCATCAAGGACAGTTCATACACAGGGCTGAGTTGTGGTTTACTTTTTGTGAGCATCTAATGTCTGTTTTCACTTTCAAAAACAAGGAGCTTCCCAAGTTGCTTTACAGATGTTTCCCTTGAGCTGGCTCTTTAAAGATGTAGATAGCAGCTGCCACCCCCTTCCTCTACAACAAGGGTGGACAATGTCTGGCCCTTTAGAAGTTGCTGGATTGGAACTCTCATCATCCTTCACCATTGGCTGTGTGTCTAGAACTGATAGTTTGTGCATCTGATGGGCTACATAGCTTCCAGCAATGTTTTAGAGCAATGTTTCCCAGCCTTAGGTCCCCAGATGTTCTTGGACTGCAACTCCCAGAAATAGTGGCCAGCATAGCTAGTGATGAAGGCTTCTGGGAGTTTTAGTCTAAAAACATCTGAGGACCCAAGATTGTGAACAATTTGCTCTAGAGTAAGCAAAAGGAACCCAGTGTGGCTGTGGAGACTGCTGGGAACAAAGGATTAGAGCCCTCTCTCCTCCATTAGGCTTCTGGTCTGGATTGTAGAAGTCTGCATCTCCATGTTGTATTGCCAGAAAGTCTTACTTGAAACAAATAGATCACTTTTTTGGCAATTAAAAAAATTGCAGTCTATTCAGAGACATCCCTGATGTGGAATATAATAGGTATAAAGCCCTCTACCATATCAAGGTTCTAGTCTAGATGGGTTCCTTGTGTGTACCATTAAAAACAAATCAAAAGAAAGATGTAGGTGCTTCCTGTGTTTTAAAAGTGGTGCCAAGCCTGTTTGGGAGGGATGGGGTGGGGGCTCTCCTATGTGCTTCCCAAGGGAAGCCAGTGTATTGCACAGTTCCAGTACTCCGATAGGTGGTTCTAAAGGGCTTGCTTGCATTGCCTGTTTGCAAGAAGGCCAGCTGGACACCCTTCAGATTATGTGTTTTTAAAAAAATATACACCAGAAATCCTAAAGAGCCATTTGAGGAAGAAGGAAAAAATATCAAAAAATGGAAATTTGGTTGTGTCCCTTTCAGTAATATGCACTGAGCTGTGCTTGCTGTCTGCCCTCGTTTTGACATGAGTATTGCTTAAAATGCCTGTAAATGGAACTTGGATTGTGATACCTTACACCTAAAGGCAAGATAAGCCCCTCCCATCTGTTTTTGCAAAGACAATGCTTAAAGAATTAGAACTATTTGAATAAAGTTTTGGAGCAAGTTCACAGTTTTGTGCTTTTGGAGTTCTGAGTAAGTCTGTGAAAAGTTTTAAGAAGCCAGGCATGAAGAATGTCAACATGCTTATGTAAAGGACACCAATGATCACTTTTGTTCTTGGTCGTGTCATGTAAAACTGCCTCTGGCCACTAGGTGATGCTCTTGACTTCTGAGTGGTGTAGCTCTCTTGCCGTACAGGTCAGGCGGGGAGAGCAATTTATGACATCCATTCAAGTTGGTTATTTCCATTTAAATATTGTGCACTGCAGCTTTTTACAGAGAGAGCAGATGAGCCATTTCTACATGTATTGATATACTAAGTTCTGTGGCCCAGCTGCAGATTATGGAACTGTATCTATGCCATTGGATTGTTTTTGCTTAATGGTTGAAGCATGTATTTTTCCTTTAATCAACAATCTAATATTGGGAAGTCTTCTTTAACCTTGTTTCTCCATAGAACCCCAGAATTTTGCATATAATACTGTGTTTCCCCAAAAATAAGACAGGGTCTTATATTAATTTTTGCTCTTAAAAACACACTAGGGCTTATTTTCAGGGGATGTCTTATTTTACAGTCATGTCCTCTTCTGGTTGCTGCACACTGGTGGGGTTTCATTTAACTAGGGCTTATTTTGGGGGGTAGGGCTTATATTACGAGCATCCTGAAAAATCATACTAGGGCTTAATTTCAGGTTAGGTCTTATTTTCGGGGAAACAGGGTAATCAAAAATCATACATTATTCATATAACTTGCTTTGCTAGAGAATGCTGCAGGTTAAGTAACTCTCCTAACATGTGTCCCTTATCACACTGCTTCACCCAACCTTGGCACAGAAGCTTAGATGAGGCTAAAGGGCAAATACTAATCTGTCAGAAGCTCAAAACAAAGATACATGTAGTAGCTCTTATTCAGAAGAGTTGTTCTTTCAAATGGAAAAACATGTCTGTTTGTCTTAGCCTGTCATTTTCCTTGTCTCTGTATCCTGTCCTTAGTGTAGCTTATTTTATTACAGGTCTTTAGACAGTAGACACCATTGTATTCTGCAAGTCTGATTTATTCAGAGAGATGTGCTAATTAATCTTGGGAATAACCATTTCCCTTAACATTAGGCCCGTATTCCGTCTGATATTGTCCCTCAAATGATAAAAAAGCCTGATTTTTCTTAGCATGTGATTTTCCTTGTCTGTGTACCCTGCTCTTAGTTGCCAGATGCTTTAAGGCCAGATGCTTTAGGTATTGTTCATCTGTTAAAATGTTTCCATTGCAATCTTCTGAAGAAGCAAAATGTACTGGCACTTATATTCTAAAGAAGTGAGATGTCCATGTATACAGTCAGTAGATCCCTGAGAAATCATGTCCTGAGGTGTACATGCTTGACAATCAAGGGATAATCTGCCTTCCTCTGATAATGTGAAGGACTTCAGTAAATGACAGGGAAACAAAACAGTTGTCTGCCATGCCTTGCTTCTCTTTTCATCACAATATTGTCATGAGGAAAATCTGCATCAAGCAACATACAAAACATATACAATTTCTAAAGTGATAAAAAGCCCCCACTTTGATTTGGCATTAATACTAAGAAGCACTTAACTGTTTGCAGTTATAGCAAATGCATGCAGAAATACGATTTTACTTATTTATTACTTGGCATTAATACTAAGAAGCACTTAACTGCAGTTATAGGAAATGCATGCAGAAATACGAATTTACTTATTGTTTATTACTTTTTTATACTGCCCATCTGGCCAGTGGTCACTCTGAGTGGTTCACAGCACAGTAAAACATAAACATAGTATAACAAAAAGTGCTCCAAATTAAAGTTAAATGTGAAAGGGTTTAATTTATAATTAAATGTATCCTTCTGTGATACACTTCCCGCATTTCTCACAGGGTGCTCTCTGAACTCCTGTGCACTGTGCAAAAATAGAAGGGATACTATTCATAGACTTGGAACATATTGGACATTCCAAATGGATGTTGAAAACAGCACAAGATGTACTAGTGTTAATTGACTGATCTGATACTTCCGTATTACAAAATCACAATAAGCAAACCTGTCATTGATGTACAGTGGTCCCTCGCAAGATGAACACCTCGCGGGACAGAAAACCGCAAGACGAATGGTTTTTGCGATTGCTGTGGTGCCTCGCAAGACAGCTTCTATGGCGGTGCTTTGCAAGATGATTTTTTTTGCAAGACCAATGCCTCACAAGATGAAAATAATTCATTAGTCTTGCGAGGTTCCCATAGGAATACATTGCAATGCATTCCTATGGGAATCCGCTTTTCACAAGATGAAAATTTCGCAACCCAGCGCTACTCATGGAACAAATTACTTTCATCTTGCGAGGCACCGCTGTAATTCAATTTTCTCCACCTTCAGTAATCCCTCTGCAATTCCGTCCACCTGTGGTCATCTCCCTCATAATATTCTTGTGGGCAGGCTGGTAGAAATATGGGCTATGCAATGTTAATGTTGGGTTGATATGTACCCACCCAGTTGATGGACTGAACCCAAAGAGTGATGTTCATTCACCATCCTGGAGAGATATAACATGTGGGGCACGACAGGGTTCAGTCCTGAGCCCAGTGTTATTTAACATCTTTGTAAATGACTTTGTTTAAGAAATAGAAGGGGGTGGTCATAAAATTAGCAGATTATATCAAAGAAGGGTAAGGAATGCTTCAGAAGTTAGGTTTCTAGATTGGAGAACTGGGCCAGACTAAACAACATGAGTTTTAACAGGAATGAGGTTCATTTGAGCAGGAAAAGTCATGGAAAAAAGACAGAATGTCTTGGTAGTAGTACAAGTGAGAAGGACCTAAGGGTTTTAGGGTCTGTCCAGACTGGCCATCTTGGGTGTGGGGAGGATTGGCCTACCAAAGGTCTAGTGAGGTTGGAGGGGGTAGTGATGTGCCATTGGGTGTCCTCCTCCCATCCAAACAGCAAAGGACCCCTTGTAGAAACAGCAAATAAAGAGGGGAAGAGAAAAGAGAAGGTGGAAAGTGGGTAGGTGGTGAAGAATATTTATTTATTAAACTTGTATCCCACCCATCTAGACTGTGTCTACTCTAGGCAACTCACAACAAAACAGAATAAAAACAATTAAAATATCAACAACAATTTCACAGCAATAAGCATATCATTCAAGATTGGAGATAAGAGAAAAGGTGTCTGGGATGGAAAAACAAGACGGAGAGAGCAAATAGAAAGAAATTGAAATGGAATTTGACAGGAGTGAACAGGATGGAAGAGCAGCCAGGAGAAGGCCAAGAGTATATATAGAAATAGTAGATGAAACTGCCAGGAGAGGAGAAGGACGAACAGACGGGAGAGGAAATACAAAAGAGAGAAGTTAAAATCAACATATACTGTATAGAGAAACAAACTTAAAAACTACTTATTTGACACAAGATTACAATTATAATTACACTTGTAACCCAATGTGCTCACCACCTCATTGGGGTCATTACTACTTTATGTAAGTTGAATACCTAGACATTTTCATAATTCGTATGAGCTTTGTGCTTTGAGGGAAGAGAGTTGCATTTTTATACATTACAATTCTCTTCCAGAATCTTTTTCTGTTCCTGTGTCACTAGTGAAAACCACAAATTATAATCACAGCAGTGGAATGCATGAAATATGTAAATCTCAGCTAGAATAGAAGTCTTCGTCGACTGAGTCACCAGTTCCGTCATTTTTTTTCCTGATTCATAAAGTTTGTTCCTTATAGTTCCTGCATGTCAGCAGATAGGGTGGCAAGAACAGATGTAATCCAGTTTCTGAGAGCATCCTCTTTCCGTCTTTGCTGCCCTAAAGAGGTTTCTCTAGCTACTTGGCCACATCCACATGACATGCTGTCCTAACTAATATACAGGTTGCATGAAGTTGTTTTTGTATTCTCTGAAAGGGCTTTTGATGAAATTCAGAGAACCTTAGTTTTCTTTAATAAACTGAACTTAGTTTTAGAGAATGGCTTAAGTTAAGCCTTTTAACAAAACCAAAAACCTATTCAGATTTCCTAATAGCCTCCCTCCAACTTTTGTGCCTGTTTCTGAAATGGGTTCTACAGATTTTTCACTTTTGCAGGCAACAAATGTAAGCTGACATGCAGTAGTAAGTCATATCTAGAGTAGGCCCATTGAATCAGTGGAGATTTGATGAGTCAACTCTTCTGTAATTTCTACTGAATTAATGGGCCTACTCTAGGTGCAACTACTTGGTTTGTGTTGCATCTTCTGAAATCCTGTTGCAGAGCTCCATGTGTGTAATGGGAATAATGTAATCAGCAGCTGTACTTCACTGCTGATTAAAGGCACTCTTTAGAAATGTCTGTATGTCACATTGGGTATGAGTCCCATGAAATCCCCAAATCACCTTTAATCAGTCATGATTTGTCACTACTGTGGATGTCACCCCCATTGCACCTGTGGAACTGTGCAACATGATTCCAGCCACTTATCATTATGAGATGTAAAGTATGGAGCTTCCATGATGGGATTAAATCTGTTGAACATATTGAATAGGTCAGTTATTATATATATGGATATTTAACTTTGTGAAACAAGAAAGGTGAGAGTCCTGCCATTTTGAACTGAATTGTGTTTCGTCTAGGAGCCAAGTAAAACTTGGGTGCTTTAACTACAGAAGAAACATCCCCACATCTATATTTCTGATAAATTTATGGAGTCAGTATATTTCTTTTTGAGAGTTAAGCTTCTGAGCTTATGCTAATATAAATCTGTTACATAAGCTTAATTCCTTGGAGGATTAGCTGTAGGCACAGGCAGACATCTTGACAACCACTGGTAGCAGTGTAATTACAGGATGCAAGGGGAGAATATAGTTACACTGAAACGTACAACATTCTTTTGCATCATCAGGGCTTCCTACTGTGTACCTAGGACCATGTTACTTCTGCTCTAATTATGGAGCATATAACATGGTTATATGTACCTGTAAATTCTAATGCCTGCTGAATTCATGCAGAGAG